TACAGGTGTTTGTTTTGGAACAATTTATGTGGCCCGTGCACAAGTGAACATGCCGTCTCAGCACATTTTGGTGTCTCTTTGCAGCTCACGTTGAAGCTGCATCCGGTATAATGGGGCACACATTTTATTGCTCTGTCCCTGCCTTTGCTTCATTCCTCTTCTCCTCATTCTCGTGACCCCAAGCTTGCACTTCCCAAATACATGGATAACCCCTTAATCTATATCTCAGGCTTTGCTTTCTAGAAGCCCCTGGTTGAGACTCTCTAGAATAGATTCCAGAGTATTTAATTTGAATTAAACATTTTCTCTCCTTTCAGATCAGCTTTGGAAGCAAATACATTTAGAAAGGAAAATATGTTCAAGAATTATGTTCTCTTTGGGGTAATGTTGAAGCACTATGAAGATGATGGTTGATAGGTGGGCAAAGGAAAACAACTAAAAGGTAGAGTAGAAGTTAACAAAAAAGAAGAACACTAATGTCAAACTTCATCCATTTCACAGTTTTGGTCTCAGCCGACCACAAGCCAAGGGCTAAACATCATTTCTACTCCCTAATTTTTTTCCAGCTCCAAGTTAGATGTGGCCTCTTTTCTGACTTAGAAAATCCTCTTTGCAATAGCATGTGTATTCAAGATTTTGTTTTTCTTCTGGACAATGAAGATGCAATGAGAACATTTTCCAAATGCTTACAGTTTTTATTCCTAGTGTTGATTAAAACTGTATTAACTGTACTTTTCAGAAATTAGAAATGTGATTTATAATTCACTTGGTTGTTAGATATTACTAAGACCTGACTTTATCAGCTGTATTTGTATCACTGAATCACTTAAGCAACCCACGGAATCAGTAATCGTGACTGACATAGTGGCTGAATCATGGGCAGAGCTGAGCTGAGGATACAAAGAACCACACATGAAGGAGATGTCATATTTCTATTAATCAGCTGAGGCACTTTAACTTCAAATCTTTCTAAACCACAATAGAAAGAAACAGAATATGGAGAGACCAATACAGAGTTTTGTTCTAAGTACATAGATAAAAACACACTGCAGAACTGTAATATATATGCATATGTATGAATATTTATCTTTTGTAATTTGTATCACAAACATTTATATATAGTCAAATCATGCCATAAATGTAGAAAATTTTCAATATCCACTTGGGAGAATGAGAATCTAGTTTTTTACCAGAGTAATAGGAATTCTTCTTTTATTTCTGGTCTCTTATAGCTACTAGTTTTTGAGAGCCTACTCTGTGTAGGCATTACCTAGGTTAAAAATTCATAGTTTTTCCTCTTTCTTTACAAACATAGCTAAATGTTTGTAAACTTTACGAACATAGCTAAAATGTTCGTAACTTGAACAGCCATGCAAGTTAAATATTATGGCTTCAGTTTACAGACAGGACTCTGAAGCTCAGTGGTTGAGTAGCTTAGTCATAATCACAAATGCAGTGACTAAAAAGGTAGATTCAGGATTCAAATCCAGCTCCATTTGACTCGAAAGCTGTCCTTTCCCCATTAATCTTCACTTTCCTTTAATATAAATAAAATTCCAGGGATTCGACTATGAATGATTCTTCTAATTTCTGCTTATATTTATAGGTTGATAAATTCTCCTTTGTTTTAAAGCTGGATTTTCTAATGGAACATCGGGGCGTGGCCCAAATTGTAAAATCGAGCTGATATGATACGGTAGGAAATCACTGGATTTAGTGTACACAGGTAGAGTTTACAATGTGTCCAAGAAGATACCCTCAATCATCAGAATAGAGATGAATGGGCATTTTGTGATATAGTTATATTTGTTTTTAAAATACAAAATGCATTTGGCTCTGAGAATGGAAAATTCAGCTCAGAGATGAGGCAGATACAACATACATGACTCTTTAAGTTGGTCACAGATGATCTTGTTAAATAGTTGACCCAGCTGGTGTGCGGCTTACCTCAGCGTCCGCGGTGACTTTGAGACAGCGTGTCATGTCCTTGTCGGGCTGCCTCTTTTTGAATGCGCATATTGTTCCCACTGACTTCATTCCTCAGGCTGACTGATGGGGACAGGACTCGAATGCATTCTGTGACTTTTAACTTGAGAATCTGAAAGTGTATAAAAGTAAATGGACTTTGACTCGCTGAAGTAGTCCTGGATTTCTTTTCCGTTTTTCTTTCATTTTACGAGTTGAGTTGATTTTTAAAAACTATCCCCAGAAAATAGAGACTCAATTTCTAATAAAGTATAAGTGATAGTGGGAAGGAGTGGAACTAGATTATAAATTGTGTGGTATGTGCTGAGCCTTTTTTTTAAAAGTAAACTTAATTTAACTTTTACAATAACCTCAAGAAGGAGCTATTGCCATCCCAGGTTGCAAATGTTGAATCTCTGTGAGGTTAAGAGATTTTAGAGAAAACCTGTTAGAGCAGATTATCTCTAGAATGAAGGCCTCTTGATTCTGTCCCATGGAGAAAGCCCATGTATAGGATTTTAGAAATGAATTAAACATGTTTTATTATTTTCTAGTAAGAATTGCTACTGGGATTTTTGCACTTGCAGAATTTTTTAAATTTGTTTATAGATTGATTCATTTATTCTTTCAACATTTGTTGAATGTCCACTATATTCTTTATTATATACCAGGATTGCAAAGATGAGTAATACAGAATTCCTCTGCTTGAGAAGCTCTCAGTGATTGTGTTTCTGTTTGTTCTAAGTGTGAAGGGAGGGGCAGGTGTTGGGGAAAAAGTATAAATAGTCTGGAAATTTGATGGGAAAATTGTGATTTTAGAAAGAAAAATTGAGTCACTCATTTTTCTTGTTGCAACAAACAAAATATGCTTTCAGGAAAATTAGAAAGTAGAAATAAGCAAAATTAACAAAAATAGTCTCCTCCTAACCAGCGTGAGTAACTCTGTTTACCTACTCACTTCTTTGACTATTTATATGAATAGTTTTTTATGTTTCTCTCTCTCTCTCTCTCTCTCACACACACACACACACACACACACACACATACACACAGATCATGCTATTTTGCTATTTTATGGTCTGCTTTCTTATGTAGGAACACACAGAGATGTTCTATTGATGTTTAAACATTATTTTTACTGGCTGAATAGCATTTTATCGCATGAAGATAGTTCAATGTATTCAATTAATCCTATGTTGTAAGTTATTTAGGTAATTTCTAATTTTTATAACTCATGCCATTTTGTAGCTAAATCTTTTTATATAGTCTAAATTATTTTTTAGAAAAAATTGCTAGCAATGTAGTTATTGGATTTAAGGATTTGTACTTTTTTTTTAGGTTTTTTTTTCCTTTTATCTTCTGTATGGTACTAAATTATCCTCCAAAAGACCAGTACTAATTTACCCATAATCAGTGGATTTGAGTTTCCATTTCTCTTCCATGTTTCCAATACTAGGTACCATCTCCTCCTTTAAGAAAAATCTTCTGCAATCCAATAGGTGGGAAAGAGTCTCCTTTTTGAAAGACCCTTATGAAAACTCTTGGCTTTTGAACTTGCTAGCTACTATTGTCTTTTGGTATAGTGCTGTCACTGTGTGTGATGGTTAATTAGTGGGCTGATTATCTGCCTTAGTAGCTTGGGAGCACCTGGAGGGTCCAGCCTGTCCTATTCACTTGTCTGTTCCTGGATGCTCATGAACGTTTATTGAACTGAATTGAACTGGAGAATGTGCCTAGTTTAGAAACAATTGGCCAGCTGTGTCCATTTCAATACAACCTGTGGGCAGGTTATTTTATTCCTGTCAGTTGCATAATAATGAGTAACTTTTATTGAGCATTGATCACATGCCAATCCTGTGTTAGGTGCTTTGCACACTGATCTGGCGAAAACAGGCTTGAACTCAAGACCAGCTAATTCCCAAGGCATCTTTCTTTTTTTCCTCTCTCCTCCCCTTTCCTATTTTCTCTCTCATATCTTCTTTTTATTATAGACATTTTAAATATACACAGACTAGAGAGAACAGCACAATGAACCTTGATACACCCACCACCCAACTTCAGCAATTGCCACCATGTATCCATTTATGTTTCATCTAAGCCTGTCCCTCACTACCTGGATCCTCCTTGCATTATTTTAAAGCAATTCTCAGATACATCAATTTTCTTCATAATTATTTACTATATCTCTAAAATTCTTTTTTATATCTCTTAGAGATATGGGCTTGTTTTTGAACCTAAATCACAGTATTATTGTCATTCTTTAAAATATTTATAACAATTCCTTAATGTCGTCTAATGTCCAGTCAGTGTCAAATTTTCCCAATTATCTCAGAATTGACTTATTGCAGTTGGTTCGTTTGATTTAGGAACCACGCAAGGACCATCCACTGTAACCGGAACCATTCTAACCACAACACAGTGTTTCTCTGTCTCCTGGACAGCACGAGGACTGCCCTTCTCAGGGCAGATAGCACGAGGAACATAAACATTTTTAAAGAATTCCTATGGATCAAATATGGCCAATAATTCACATCATCCTGGAAAGAAGCCCGCTCAGTAGTTAATACCTGGGAAGCACTGGGTCTGTGTGGAATGGAAAATGTGCTTTGCCACGAGGGTTCGTCCTCCCCTCTCCCTGGAAATCCATCAGTGTAATTATTTGAGCACATGCTAATGTACCAGGCACTGTGCTGCCTTCTCCCTGGAAATCCATCAGTGTGTCCGTCCAGTGCCTGGCAGCTCAGTTGCTCACTTTCCTGCTTTCCTGCTTCACAAGCTCTTGCCAAGTCTCTTCCCAGAAGATGCATAGTGAGATATAAGTGACAGTGGCTTTAAAGTTCTGTCTTTAGCACTGGGCTGAAAAAAACGAGACATGCTGGCTTTTGTACCCCTTCCTGGCTGGGAGAGAATGATTTGGAAATGGAAGCCACAGGCTTGTTGTTGTCATAAATGGGTCATGACATTGATAAAGTATTTCACAGTAAGCAATAGTTCAAGTTTTCATGTCTGTTTTTGCCTCTGTTTTGAACTTGAAGGTCTAGTGATCCTCCACTGTGTTGCAGCGGGTGGGAATTCGACAAGAAGTCCTGAAATTAACGGCCTCCTCTGCGGAGATCCTGAGAACTGTGCAGGTATGTTTAGCAAACTTCATAGTCAGTCTTGGAAAGTTGAGTTCCCTGAATTTTAATCTTCTGATTATCATAGTAATCATAATACGAGGTAGTTATTTGAGCACATGCTAATGTACCAGGCACTGTGCTAAGTGCTTTACATACAGTAACTCATTCACTCCTCACAAGAGCCCTCTGAGCTAGATTTCAAGGTGAAGCCTACAAAGATTAAGTAAGTTGCCAAAGGTCACACAACTGGTGGCATAGCAAATCTGGGGTTTCAGCTCTTGTCTTTCTGATTCCAGTGCCTCCACTGTGCCAGCTCAGCATCACAGATGTGTGCTCCAGACTCTAGCCTGTGCTATCTTGGACTGGATTCATGGAGAGTTGGCATATGCTATTCAAATTTTAATTCTTTTTTTATTCCAAACTTAAAAGAAGGGAAGAAGGCAAGGATTTGTATACATTTTGCCGTGGAGAAGCTTGAGTTAGTGTTCTCTAAGTTACTAGTCTAGGGCAGAGATTTGCCTTAGCAGGGTCAGACACAAGTGGCTCGTGGGGCATGAGGTCTGTGTCACAGGCACTCAGCCCTGCCGTCGTGCTGCCAGCGCAGCTGTAGTTGCGCACAAGTGAATGAGCCCGGCTGTGTTCCAACTGGACTTCCCTTAGGGAAACAGGCCGTGGCCAGATCTGGCCCTTGGGCCCAGTGTGCCAAGTCCTCTTTGTTCTGTGCGGATGATATGGTCTGCTCTCCTACAGGGGGTGCTTCTGATTCGGAAAACAAAAACAGAACACAAGCCAATCCCAAAAGAAGTGTGGGATGAACAAGAGCCTCCTGTTTTCCCTGGAAACTTCTCCCAGCTGGGAGTGGGGTGACATGGTGTGAAGTTTTCCTTTCCTCGCACCCTGGGGAAGTTGTCACTGAGCCAGGAGCGTGCTGAGCAAGTCTTCCTGATGTGAGTCACCGGTTCCAGCCCAGGCTTCCTCTGCCACCCCTCACAGCAGTGGGTGGTCTGGAAGGTGCTCATCGGCTTCGGAATGTGATGGTGTCTGAGGTCGTGCTTGCGTGGGTCTTGTCACCATGAAGGGAGAAGGACAAAGCCAACTTTATGTGTTCATGTGTTTTTCTTCAGGCCAGTCTCCAATGTCTTAAATGATGACATTTTTCACATTTCCTTGGGAAATATTTGCGTAATCTGATGACTGACAAATGTTCCAAAATCTTCCTCATCATCATCCTAAATGTGTTTTCTAATTTTATTGTTATCTTAAAGTGGACAATACAGTACTGTTAAGTATAGGCATGATGTTGTGGAGTAGATGTCTCTAATTTATTCATTTTGTATAACTGAAACTTGGAACCTGTTGAAGAGCAATTCCCCACTGCCCCTCCCCCAGCCCCTGGCCTCTACCGTTCTACTATCTGCTTCTGTGTATTTGGCTACATTAGATACCTCACATAACTGGACTCACATATTTGTCTTCTGGTAGCTGTCTTATTTCACTAAGTACAATGCCTTCCAAGTTCATCCATGTTGTCACAAATGGCAGGATTTCCTTCATTTTTAAAGATGGATAGTATTTTATTTATATATATGCAACATTTTCTTTATCCATTCATCTGTCAATAGACACTTGGGTTGCTTCCACCTTTTGGCTCTTGTGGAATGATGGTGCAATGAATATAAGAGTGCAGATATTTTTTTGAGATCCTGATTTTAATTCTTTTGGATAGATACTCAGGAGTGGGATTGCTGGATCATATGGTAGTTCTATATTTAATTTTTTGAGGGACATCTATACTGGTTTCCATAATAACTGCAGTATTTTATCACTTGTTATCTTTTGTCTTTGTGATAATTGCAATCCTATCAGGTATGAGGTGATATCTTAGGTGGTTTTGATTTGCATTTGCCTGATTACTTATGATGTTGAGCATCTTTTCATATGCCTTTTGGCCATCTGTAAGTTTCCTTTGAAAAATGTCTATTTAAGTCCTTAGCCCATTTTTTGAATGGGTTACTGAGTTGTAAGGGTTCCTTATATATTTTGGATATCAATCTCTTATCAGAAGTACAGTGTGAAAACATTTTCTCCCATTCCATAGGTTGCCTTTTACCCTGTTAGTTGTTTCCTTGGCAGTGCAGAAGCCTTTTCAGTCGATATAATGCCACTTATTTCTGTTCTGCTTTTGTTGTCTGTGCTTTTGGCAACACATCTAAGAAATCATTGCCAAGACCATTGTCAAGAAGTTTTCTCTTACATTTTCTTGTAGGAATTTTACAGTTCCAGATCTTACGTTTAAGTCTTCAATCAATTTTGAATTTACTTTTGTCAATTTACCATTATAGTAAAAGTGTCTGATAGCATTCTTTTGCATGTGGATATCCAGTTTTCAAATATTGAAGAGACTACCCTTTCTTCATTGTGTATTCTTAGCACCCTTGCTGAATATCAATCAGTTCACTGTATGTGCATGGGTTTCTTTCTGAGCTGTCTATTTTGTTCTATTGGTCTATCTGTCTGTCTTTATACCAACACTACACTGTTTTAATTACTGTAGCTGTAGAGTGTATTTTGAAATCAGGAAATGTAATACCTCCAGCTTTGTCCTTATTCAAGATTGTTTTAGCTGTTGGGAATTTTTGGGGGGTTGCAGATGAATTTTAGAATTGTTTTCCCATTTTTGTAAAAAAAAGTAATTGGAAGTTTAATAAGGATCGCATTGAATCTATAGATAACTTTTGGTAGTATGGACATTTTAACAATATTAAACTTTTCAATCCATTAACATGGGATATTTTTCCATTTATTTTTGTCTTCTTTAATTTTCTCCATCAATGTTTTATAGTTTTCGGTTGTGCAACTATTTCACTTCCTTAGTTAAGTTTATTCCTAAGTATTTTATTCTCTTTGATGCTATTATAAATGGGCTTGTTTTCCTTTTTGGATGGTTTGAAGCTATAGTATAGAAATGCAACTGATATTGGCATGTTGATTTTGTATTTGGCAACTTTGCTAAATTCATAAATTAGCTGTATTAATAACATATAGTGTGTGTGTGTTTGTGTATTTCTCTGTGTGTACACGTGTGCAGTCTTTAGGATTTTCTGTGTATAAGATTATGTCATCTTCAAACAGATAATTTTACTTTTCATGGTTTGGATTCCTTTTATTTCTTTTTCTTTCCTAATTGTTTTGTCTAGTACATTCAGTACTTTGTTGAATAGAAGAAGTAAGAGTATGCATCCTTGCCTTGTTCTTGATCTTAGGAAAAAGCTTTCAGTTTTTCACCATTAAGTACGATATAAACTGTGCTTTTCATATATGGCCTTCTTATGTTAGAATAATTTTCTTCTATTTCTAATTTGTTGAGAGTTTTTATCATGAAAAGGTGTTGAATTTTGTCAAATGCCTTTTTTTGCATCTATTGAGATGATCATGCTATTGTTATCCTTTGTGTGTTAATGTGATGTATCACATTGACTGAGTTTTGCATGTTGAATCATCCTACATTCCAGGGATAAATCCCACTTGGTCACGGGGTATAATCCTTTTATTTTGCTGTTGGATTGGATTTGCTGGCGTTTTGTCAAGGATGTTTGCATCTGTGTTCATTAGGGATATTGTCCTGTAGTTTTCTTTTCTTGTTATGTCTTTGTTTAGCTTTGGTATCAAGGTAATATGGCTTTGTAAAATGAGTTTGAGTGTGTTTCCTCCTCTTCAATGTTCTGGAATAGTGTAAGAAGTATTGGCATTAAGTATTTAAAGGTTTGGTATAATTCATCAGGGAAGCCATCTTGTCCTGGGCTTTTATTTGTGAAGATTTTTGATTACTAATTCAATCTTCTTATTAGCTACACTTCTGTTCAGATTTTCTATTTCTTTGTGATTCAGTCATGGTATTTGCATGTCTATTTTTGTGAATAGAATAGTCATGGTAGTTTTCATGTTTCTAGGAATTTATCCATTTCATCTAGGTTATTCAATTTTTTTGGTGTATAATTGTTCCTAGTAATCTCATATGATCCTTTTTATTTCTATAGCAGCAGTTGTAATGTCTCCCCTTTCATTCCTGATTTTATTATTTAAGCTTTCTCCTTTTTTCCTTAGTAAGTCTAGCTATAGTTTTGTCAATTTTGTTTATCTATGTTTTCAAAAAACAAATTCTTAGTTTTGTTGGGTTTCTTTCTATTTTCTATTTCATTTACTTTAATCTTGATTATTTCTATCCTTCTATTGATTTTGTGCTTATTTTGTTCTTCTATCCTGGAGAATGCTCTGTGCACGCTTGAGAAGAATGTATATTCTGCTGGTGTTGGGTAGAGTGTTTTGTTTATGTCTGTTAGCTGTCTTTTAACAAGTCGCTTAAGTTTTCGAGGACCGAGTTTGGAACGTATAAAATAAAGAGGTGAATCCGATGATCCTTGGGGGGGTCCTTCCTGTTTCTAACTGATTATGATTTTATTTTTTTCAAACAACCTCAATCCTTAAGCACTCCATTTTTAGTGTGTCACTTCTAACTTGACTGAGGCATCCACTCATCCCGCTAACACTTACGAGCACGTGCCACGCAGCAGCCCTATTCCGGGTACTGAGAATGCAACAGCGAACACGACGGCCAAAGGCAAGGTCACAAACATAATGGAGAAAGAGAGGTGACCGGTAATGTCATGCAGAGCCTTGCCAAAGACGAGGGCCTTCAGCTGTTACTCTGAGAGTTTCAGTGGCAGTACTCTGGCTTCCGAGTGCAGCCTTGACAGTTCAGAGGGCACAGGCGGAAGCAGGGAGACTAGGCAGGGGTGTCGTTATGGAGACTGCCCCCAGCTTGGAGATGCTGCTGGGCTTAGACCAGGCTACCAGAGTGGTGGAATGATTCTGCATATATTTTAAAGACAGCCTAATGGGACTTGCTAACGAGTTGGTTGAATGTATAGTAAGAGAGAAGGAAATCAAGATGACTCCAAAGGCTTTTGGCCTAAAAAGCAGAAAGAATGGATATTATAGTATTTTCTGAAATA